TTCTTGGCTTACCAGAGTGGTTTTTATTTGCCTGCTGGCGAGACGTTTCCCTCAATAAAAAAGCCCTAAGTACATAATGAAAGAACCTGAACATGACTAACACCAAATCAGTTTCATGCAAACAAAATAGTGAGATACATATTTGTTATATAGTGAAGTTATAAGAATTGTGACACAGGGTTCAGCTTAGCTTATTTTTTCATAGAGCTGGGGATACCCTCAGCCCCCACAAAAAGGATCATGGCAAAGCATTCAATACAAAAGTAAAAATATTGGAGTCAGTGGGTCATGTTGCAACAATAATTAGCTTGGAGAGAAAAGGTAAAAACTGGAAAGAAAAAAATCACAAGGACTTGGAAAGCACTTATATGGGGTTTTAGAATTATATGGAGGTTTCCAAGGTTGATTTGCTATTTTGCATTGATCCTTCTTGGATAGATGCTTCCCAATTACACATGTATCCTAGTTATTTTTGACTTCTTTTTTTACAATTGGTTTTTAAGAAAAGAAATTTTTGATAATTTGGGGAGGGGAGGGTGTGGTAATATACCTTGCTCACATTTATACGTATGTAAATGCTCAGTCTTCAAATGATTCTGCATTAATCTTAAAAAAAAAATCTAGACTTTGGCTATTTATTCAAGAAGGAGAAAAGTCACTAATATTTAAGATGAGTGGTTCTGAAATTTTAGTATGCATCAGAATTACCTGGAGAGCTTATAAAATACAGACTGCTGAGCCCCATCTCCATAGTTTCTGATTCCATATGTCTAGGATGGAAGCTGAGAATTTGCATTTCTGACAAGCTGCCTGCTGCTGCTGCTGCTGCTGCTGCTGCTGCTACTGTTCTGAGGACCACACTTTGAGAACAAATGCTTTACATGAATGTTAAATTAAGCTGAGAATTGATAGAAAAGAATTAAGGTAAAATAAGGACTTGGAAATATTCTACTGGTGTATACAAAAGTAATATTCAAAATATTTAACAAGCCACTGACCAATTAGAATGCATTTGGTCTTAATCCATATGGCTGAGCCCATGCACACTGCCTCGACCTTAGACTTGAGTGAGTATACGTAACTTAAAAAACAACTGTATTTAGATAAATCGAAATTTTAAACTTTTTTTCCTCTAGTACTTTTTTAATAGTTCTTAAAATATAAATCTACATTTAATGTTTTAGAGTTTGGATACTATATCATGTGTTATTTCATTTTGTCTTTTTCTATTAAAAAATAACATAACCTAAAATTTTAAAGTCAGATAATTATTTAAAAAATAATAATAATTACTCTGACTCATCTTCTCTCCCCTCCTCAAAAGGATGGCAACTTCTTTAATAACTACTCTTTCTTTTCCTGATGTTATATTTTAATAGGATAATGTTCATTTTGTTTTAATAAATTTAATATGTTATAAAATTACATGATATCACAAACTAATAAAGACCACCTTGTTCCTTTTAAAATCACATTTTCATGAAAATTAATCGATTATGGTAACCAGGTATGTATGTTTATAATATACTTCCTAGATTTAGAAAAGCAAGTTAAGATACCTTTATATAAAAGAGACATAGAATAAAAGTATACAAGGTATTGATGTTAAGGAATGCAGTGACACATAAATATTAAATATCCAGGGAGTTTAACAGAATAATAGTGACTTAGAAAGAAGCCTTACTTAGATAAGTAAAATAAATGTGTGTGTATGCGTGTTTCAAAAGTATGAAACTCTTCTCCCAAATGTTAGCCATTTAACAGCTATTTTTATCTACTTTGGAACTTTAGTTGTTTTTAAACTGGAAACCATTTTGAAATACTGAGGATAAAATTTAACAATTGAAAAGCCTAACTGGCTACAGATGCCCAGGATGTGAGGATGATATTTAAACTGGCATCATTCTTTTCTCCAGGAATGTGTGTGTGTATCTTTCATGTCAGCACTTGCCTCTGTGATGACACTTGTTAGATTTCTTTGTGTCATGTGCTGTTTCACAGTCTATAGTAGTGATTTTTATTGCACAGTACCCCCAAACTGCACTTATTATTTAAAAGTAAGTTGTCAAAGCCCGACTTTTATTGTTCTGCTCACTTCTATGTGTACTATGATCATCTGATTCTGTTTTAGTTTTAAAATACAGAATTCTGAAATGGGCCATAATGAAGTAGTACACTTTTTTAACCTTGAAATCATTCCCGTGAAAAATAATTGTTTGCTTGTGTCTGATAGTTTCCAGGCTTCTGGGAAAAACTCGGTTCAGAGACTGGCTAATAAATAACAGAAAACAACCTTGAAGGGAATATGATGTGCTACGTTATGTCCAGTACCTCTCTGCCCGACAGAAAAGCAGATGGGGCCCCAAGAGACATCTCTGGCCAACTGCTACTTTTAAAAATCTCTCAGCAGGATTCTTTCTTAGGCTGCAGCTTTGTTTATAGTCACAGAAAGATTAGATGTGGCTAAATAATCTATCCAGTCCAGTGAAGTGGCCAAAATGGGTAAGGAGAGCTGACTGAGTTTTCTTTTTTACACAAGCAGCACATCTTTATACAAGATACCTGTGTCAAGGTGGACCAAGAGTTATGGGTCAGTGTACATAGATAGAAAAATTGCTCCTAGTACAACCCAAGAGCAGTTCAATAAATTCTACAAACATTAAACAAAGGCTGATGACAAAGAAAATTTGTAGTATCCAGGATTATCTCTCTACATTCAGTTTCCAACTCATATGTCCACTTCTACTCTAACACACATACCCTGCACCATCATAATCACCTTGATCTTCTCTATTACACTCACCACCTCCATCATTCCCCTAAATTCTATATGTTTGGGGCTTTCCAGAGCACTTCGGACCTTCATATCATTGGGTTATTTTCAGATTTGTAGGACTTAGTTGTATTTTTTTTAATCAGATAATTTTTAATTAAGATAATTATTATCAGGGTGCTTTGGGACTATTATTCAATTAACAAGTGAGTATGCATTATCTTATTATTTTGTTCTGTTTTGCTTTTTAATTCATCAGGTGTCTCAGTTGGGACTTACCAACTATTGGTCATTTTATCATCCCCTTCTCCCCACGACTCCCAGAGCCATTTCACTTGTTGGGAGCATCAGCTTAACTGTACCTGTGCAAAGAGTATTTGGGGGGGTGGGTATAAGTATTCTCTTTACTTGCAGGATTCTTTAGGATTTTTTCTTAATTTCCAAAATAGTTATGTTCACCTGGTCCCATGGTGTACTCAAACAAAATTTTGTCTTGTTTGAAATACCACTAAGATTTGCTAGAAACTTTAAAATGTATATTTTGGAGGTATAAGTGAAGATATCACTGTTAATTTAAACCCTATCTTTTAATATGTATTATACCTAAAATATCCACTTCTAAATATGCTGGACAGAGAGAAGAGAGGAACTTTGCTTTAAGAGAAAGTATGTAGCCAGCTGCTTAGAGAAGATGACCAACTGTAATTTGGATTTAATTGACTGTATTGCCTTCAAAAGATATGGCCAAGAGACTTGATTTATTAAAGAGGAGAACTAGGCAGGAAATAAAAAGGGACACACCTCTGTCCATCAAAGTAGCATTCTCCATGTAGAATCAAACCAATCCAACCTATCACTGGTTCTTCAATTAATTATAGCAAGTCTTAATTTCACATTTGGCTCACACTATGTCTTTTGATGTTATGTGTTGTTGGAAAACTGTAACTGATGCATGAGTGTCCTCTCTGTTCAAACTGTTTCTAATATATAATTTCCTTGTCCAGTGTTCTTTCAATAAGGGTACCTAGTTCTCTGAAGATACTTATCAGAATGATGCAAATGAAGGTGTGGATTATTTATTTATCATTTATTAAAAGATATTATACCGCAGCACCTTACCTACCACAGTTGCTGTGATGAAGAGGACAATGTGATTATTATTTTTCTGACAAAAGGAAACATTGAGTTTAAATATGCCATGGAAAATCATGGGTAGTCTAACAGGCATAATCCTCCACTGAGATATCTTCTTTGTTAGATGACATTTTTAAATGTTTTGAGCTGGAAAACCTTTTGATTTAAGAATCTCTCTGCCCACTCTCAGCCTCATCCCAAGCCACAAAGGCTTTTGTTCTCTATAAATCAACATTAATAAATACAGATTTCTTTAAGATGATTTTCTATCTCAATTAATGTGTCTCTACAGTACCCCCAAAAAATAATGTTAAGGAAATATAAACTTGGGAAAATATATCTTGCTGTTTTAACAAAATCTCAGAAGGCACAGGCAAAAGAATTGCCTTAGCCCCATTAGTAGTCAAAACACACTGAAATCTCCTTACAATGGATCGGGGTTTGAAAGACCTATGTGTTGAAAGAATGTCACTACCATAATTTCTCAGACTACCCTCTATAAGAAGCAAGGAGAAAGAAAGAATCAGAAATTTGATTTCTGTGTACCCCGTTTGGACTCAGGCAGTGCCTTTGGTTTTGAACTCTCAAGCTTCAATCTCAGTCTCCAGGGTGCCCACTTCCCTTGTTATGTGTGAACTTTTTCTTATAGATACCCTTTGGGGACTGTATTAATAAGACACATTGTAGAAAGAGAAAACACATTTCCCAAGCCAAGAATAGGAGAGCCGTTCTTTTCTAGGGCCCTTGTTAATCTCTGGGAGCCCAGCATCTTCTGTGGCAGAACAAAGGCAATCCAGGTGTAAATTTGTACTTTTTTCCACGCCACAAAGAAAATGTTATTCATGTGTTAGTGTTCAGCTACATGTCTCTTAAGGGAAGCAATAGAATGTTTCTTCCTTCCATCCAGAGGCTTTAGAACTTGATCCCCATTGCTTTCTAGCATCATTCTAAATAGAACCCCACTGTTTGGCCACGGCCAGAATTAGCTTGAATGGTACCTATTATTGAAAGGGAGTCTGTATTTGCAGTAATACAGAGAATGCTAGTTTAGAAATGAGCCTGATTGCATGGTTCATTTTGTTCTCCTTTGTAGAGCCAGGCTGCGGCCCACTACAAAGGCACGAAACATGCCAAGAAGCTCAAAGCACTGGAAGCCATGAAAAATAAGCAGAAATCTGTAACTACCAAGGACAGCGCAAAGACAACCTTCACCTCCATCACTACCAATACCATCAATACCAGCTCTGACAAAACAGGTTAAGCGATGATCTTTGTTGTTGTCGTTGTTGCTGTTGTCGTCGTCATTTGGGATTCCTTCCCTTGTCTAACCCCATGTCTGTTTACTTATGTTCCTGCCACATTAATTCATGCTTGATCCATCTTTCTATGTAATGATAATTGTATCCCCTCAGTTTTCTAATACCCTTAAGACATTAAGGTAATCACTAATTATACTACAGATTTTTCACTTAAAGCAGTCCTGTGGCTGTTTTAAAGGAACACAACAATCATAAAGGCATTTGAAGCCATGTCCCCAGAAACCCTTTTTGAGAAGTGCACCCTTTCAGTGTGCATTATTGGTATCTTGTATGCAGCACCCCAGCCTGTAACTGCATGGCAGATTTAATTTAACTGTGAATACACAGCGAAGGATGCCAAATGAATTGAGAAGACCCAAATAAGGACATTATTGACAGGCCTTATTCTTATAAATCCCAAGCATTGCAGTGTTTTAAGTAGCGGCTATGTAATTCTGGGTTTGTTATGGCTTGGTAACCTTCTCTACGCACACACAGGTAAGTGTTATTGATATCAATTATTCTTTTTAACAGAGTCTTCACAGTAAAATAATGGCTTCTGAATGGCCCCCTGGGACAGCTCCTACAAACAACCAGTTTATTCACAGCAGTGGAAGCCAATGGGGTCTTCCTAAGCTGGCATTTTAAAATATAAAAACACTAGTCCTCAAAATTTACATGAAAGGAAGTCCTGTGTGATTCATGGATGTCCCTTGAAAAAATCACTGGTTGTTTTTCAGTCCCTACAAATGACAATGGTCAGGAAGCATTGGTATCATCAGAGATGGTAATGTCTTAACTAGAAAAGACTCTTCTGTCCATGACTGTGAAAATATAAAACTGCAGTGATCAAATAGAACAGATTATGATGACTTTATTACACATGGTTACATATATTAGACACATATATGCTACTCAAAGGATTTGGGGAGATACTTACTCCTATGTGAATCTGTAAGGGATAATGATGTTCTCTCCAAGTTCCCGAGACAAAATTGCTATCCTTTACCCAGCCATTATTGGTAGATGCATCATGCTGTCCTCCCTGAAGAACCCTATATGCTCTCTGAGGCGGAGTGCATCTGTCATCTTTGTACCCTGGCACCTGATGTAGATGCTGAGTAAAATGTCTATTGAATGGCTGAATTTCCTCTCACCCCTTTGATTCTCTGATTCATTCTATTTTGTGTCACAACATACTAAAGGAAAAATGAAGCCCTTGTCATGTTCACTTCTTTTGTATCAAGAATAAGACCTGCATTATGCTATTTTATTAATTTAGATGTAACACTTTACAGGGAAAGCGTTAATCTTTTTTCTATTATTGAAAACTCACTGCCTTATTTGCGGAGCTGTAGGGGAATGAACAGTAATGAAGCAGGTGAGTGCAATATTTGCTCCCAGATATTGGGGCACAGATTTGCATCCCTAAAGCCATACTTTCCATAAAGAAATATCTTTCATTTGCGAAAAGATAGTAGGTAAGGAGAACAAATAGATGTATTTGGTGTAAAATTTTTGCTTGCCCCCAAACTTTTTTACTCCTAGACATTTTAATCAATAATGGCTTTTTGGGTTACCTTGACTCCTCTTTAAATTGCAAAACTCCCTGTTACATTGAGGATGCACATCATTTAAATATAGCTTTGTACATGGTGGGTAGAGCTGCTAACTTGGGTTAGGAAGGCTCCCACGTGCATTGTCTCTGTTACATAAATGAGTTATGAATTCATTCTTCCATTCCTCAACTTAGAGACAAAAGGGTAAAGGCTGGCAGTCATCATGACTCTGTCCTTTTAGAAGTTAAATGAGAACAGTTTGGGGATTGGACTGTGAGAAACAACCTATATAAAATAAATAGATCTCCAATGGAGATGCCAGAACTTACCTAATGGTTGGAATGGCATTGAAATGGTGAGCCATCCCTTCAGGCTGGAGCTAAAGAAAATCTAGAAAGGCAGAAGGGATAGTAAAATCTATAAAATTGGAAGGAAGTGATGGGTATCAAGAATTGCTCTCTTAATCTGTGGAGATCTACATCCAAAAAAAAAAAAAAATCCATAGGTTGAAAATCTAGCACATTCACCAGATATTTTAAGCCAAAGTCTATAAAACTGAGATTTCCACAAAACTACCTATGAGAAGTAGCCCAAGAATACTCCTGTCATTTAATAGTTTCTTTACCCATCAGTATTGCAAATCAGAGGCACCTATGCTGACAAATTGGAGTTTTCTTAAAACTTATCATTGGTCCTCTTTATTACTGCCTGCTTCTTCATGCTGATTAGGAAGGAGTACAACCCTGAATATAAGATGGTTCTCTGAGCTAGTTTCCTAGAACAGTTAAATATTTGGTGACAGAAGGAGAGCTAAGACTCTAGAATTAAAGATCATGATTTTTTAATAATAAAAAATATTAACCATTCTACTTAATGAACAAGGTTTTTCTTTTGATTCGTGGATTTATCCATACATAAAATTAGAAATATATTGTCACATTTTATTGATTTTATCAAATTATTCTTAATAAAAATAATCCAAATATATGTTTTAAATATTGCTTTTTAAAAAGCTAAAAATACAATTATTTGGTAGATGAGAATCTTAAGAGAAGGTTGAGCAGCAATAGTGAAAAAGGCAGGAAGTAGTATGAACTTGAGAATTAGAAAATTGACAGAGGTTTTCCTGAGTTTCTCTAACATACGTACAAGAAATAGAATACTCATTAAAAACAAATTTTCATTACAAATCTACTTGATAAAAAGAGCATTGTGACAAACAATTCCTCTTGAATTCCAAAATCATATATTAATGGTTTTAATTGCCGCCTTGGGCTAACAAATATGTCTTAATGACACATGGGGTAAGCTTTTATTCACTAGCTTTATGATCTTGGAATTCTTTTTCATTATTTATGTCAGTCTGCATGCTGGAGTGGTGAGCAATAGATAATATTCAGTGATCAACCACCAACTGCTCACAGAAAGCTTTGTTTCCCTATCTCTAGGCATGAAAGATACTCCCTAACATAAAAGCATAATTTTAGTTCTTGTGATCTAATGTTAGGCTGGCAAATTGACACAAAGACAAATTTACAGGCAAAAGTAATATTTTAAAAACTATTCTGAACACTCGAAATTGTTGGCATATAATGGTGATTGCTATTTATTACAGAATATTTCATAGAGCAAACATTGTCCAAGTTGGCCAGAATAACTTTATCTGATCTAGCAAGGTAATTTTATACAGCAAAAGAAATGACAAGAATTAAGAAATTATGCTCAAAGCAACTTGGCATATGTAACTCAGTTGTTTTTGTTTTGTTTTGTTTTCTATGAAATAACAAATTCATAGTTGTCTGATTTAGTCTTGCACTAGGTCAGTCATCCTATGATCTTTCTTTACTATCCCTTTTGGGGAACTCTATTTCCATGGCCTTTCAGTTAGTTTAGGCTAGATTATACTGCAGTAAGAAATAATTTCTAAATCCTCGTGGCTTTTTTCAAATTATTTCTCACACTGCATATCAGCTACAGGTTTGTTTGTTTGTTTGTTTGTTTGTTTGTTTTCATGTTAATTTAACTCTAGAGCCATGCTAATGAAGCAGTCACTAGCTGTATATTACCAATTCTATGGAAGAGGGAAAAAAAGTGTCCTGAAACAATAAGCTTTTAAAGCTTTTTAATGGAAGTGACATATAAAATTCCTCATGTGGCCATTGGCAAATCCCATGATTAAGCCTGATTATAACTGGGGAGGAAGAATAATCTCCAGGGAGGGGAAGCAGATATTAGTGAGTAATTAAACACGACATTGTATCTTAGCCTCAACTATCACTTGTGCTTAGATATTTCAACAACATTTGACATCTCTAACATTGTTCTTCTAAGTGCTAACCTGATTCTTCATGGCTTATTGCTCATTCACTTGGATGGTTTGTCAGTACCTCTAATTTACAGGTTTAAAAAAATAGAGCTAATCTTGACCATCATCCCCAACTTTCTCTTCATTCTGTCTTTACTTAGTTTTATTTTGGGTTGTGCATTTCAGAGTTGAAATTTTCTAGTTGCTTTGCCTTTTCTGTCTCAGTCTGCACATCAATTCAGTTGTTGGAATCCACTCCCCTCCCAGCCCTAGAAAACATCTTTCATTCTTTCACACACAGTTACTACCTGTTCTCTGGCCTCATAGCTCTGTGTCCTGCCCATACAATTGCCCTAGCCTCCATTCTTGCCCCTTGACAACCCTATCCATCACAGCACTTACCTATTCAGAAACCTTCAGTTTACCTTTATGTGGAACCTCATGTCCCTCCTTGATATGACCTTGATTTGACAACCTGCCTTTCCAAACTTTTCTTCTATTGCTCATCTGTAATATTTTCTCCTAGAGACACACTTTGTTTTTTTATCTGTGTTTTTTATACTGTTTTTCTAAATTTCTTAAAAAATATATTACTTTTCTCTTTATCTTTTGCCTATGAATTTCCATAAGAACCCATATTCTTAAACCTTAAAACTTTCAGATTCTTAAAATGTAAGTTTTATGTCTTTACTTTCTCCTATTGCTAGATGATGTGTTCATTCAGAGTACACAGTTGAATAATCCTTTTATTTATTTTTTACTCTTCTTTTTCATAAAAATAATAAATAAGTAGTTTTAAAACTTAAAGTAATCACTTGTGTTTTTGTTCATGAATTGAAGCATAGCAAAAATTTAGACTTCTTTGCAAGTATTTGGTTCTCATTAATCCAAGAAATTCTGAAATGTTGCTCATCAAATTTTAGAGTTGCAAATTTTCATAAAGATCATCAAGTCAAACCTCTAAAATTTCTTTGTTTTTTGGAGATTCTCTGGTTGCACAGATAAAACACTTGACATTTCTAATGCCTCTTCAGTGACTATCAATCAGGAGTTAATTAGCCTATTAAGTATATAGATTTACCCTAGTCATCTAA